AAAAAATCTCAACTCTGCTCACACTTGGTTTTTGTTGTTTCACATTTCTGTGTATAATTTTGCCATCTGTGCTGATCATCGAGAACTTTTTCCTTTCTTAAAAAAAACTTTTTTTGTGTCTTTTTTGAAACAGGTCCGTCAAAATAGAGAGGAGATGGAAGACAAAGTTGCCTCCCTGTCCCTGCAGCAGACCAGCCTACAGGAGCTGATTTCAACGCTCAAGGACGGCCGAGGGGCGCAGAAAGTAGCAGAGTGGCACTCCAAGATAGACGGCATTCGCCTGGAGGAGCTGAAACAGAAGAGGAATAACTCCAAACTACAGCAGCAGGTGAGGCTGGAAGTCGTCTTTGTTTCTACGCCGCTCCAACCTGTGGAGCTTTTTGTACGCAATAATTATGGCTTGACATTTTCCTCATGTTGTCATTGTGGGCAGTTTAGAGGGTGCTACTGGTTGGTATATCTTGTCTTTCCTCTTGTTGTTTTTGTCAGTCAGTCTTATTTTTTTCAATGTAATCCTCGTAAATGAATATTGTAGCGTCAATTTGCCGATCTTTCATAATCATCAACATCATCATCATCATCAGTGATTCTCACTCTGTACCGAAGTACAGATCTCCAACAAGAGCTCTCCATGTACTTCTATCCTGGCCTATTGTCTTTACCTCTGTCCAGCTGTGTCCCATCTCCTTTAAGTTGGAATCCAAGTCCCTTTTCCAAGTACTTCTATAAACTCCTTTACATCTCCCAAGACTTTAATTGCTCTTGCTGGTGTTTCTGTAGCATGCATGCAGTTTTTAGAATATATGGATGCTATCCCTAAGCTCTACCCCCAGTCCGACAGACCAGGTGACTCGTGTGTGGAGCCCCATCTTGGAGCCTTCAGTTACCTTCAACGACACGACTGAACATCAGATATATTCTTCTAACGGTCAAGGTCTGCACGGCTGTTCTGCTCTTTCCCTCCCACTAAAAATGTAGTAATGTTTACCTTGTGTTGCTTCTTCTCATGCCAAAGATGTGATTTTTGTCCTCTGTTTGACATGTGTTTTTCTTCTTCACTACTCCTCAGATCAAGTATCTGGAGGAAATCATTCGCTCTCATGAGGTGACCATTTCGGAGCTGGAGGCTGATAATGTTAGAATGATCAAGGTAAGTGTTCTGTGTTTTACCCAATTTAAGACTGATGATGTCAGGATGATCAAAGTAGGAGTTCATTTCTGTAACCACTCAGGTGAGTCTTTGATTCTTTTACTGTAGGGAACAAAACTGTGATTTCATTAAGCTCGAAGCTGAACCTACTCTATCGGCTGCCTGGTAGTAGTGACAATCCATTTTTCTAAGACAATCACCAGTAAAAATGACTGCTTCCCACTTCAGTGCAACCCCCGCCCCTGCATTTAACAAAATATTATAATGACACTGTCCGAGACGTACTCATGTATAAGAGGACCACTCTACTCTTTGACAGTGGAAGGCCATCATTTAGACTGTATATAGGGAGTGGTAGCAGCTTATGCTAAATTGAAGTGGGGTCACAAATAGTATGGAATGATCAGGCCCAGGCCGGCCAAGGGAGTTATTGTATACATCATGTGAACCTTCTCAGGGTTACCTGATTATACATGATGTGTACACAAGCACTTTGACATTTGAATCTACCATCTTCGTCCAGTAGCATTAATAATAACTTTAATTAATAATAATAATATGAAAATTGATAATAGTTCATCCATCAATCTCTGACAATGACTAATGCATCTCTTGAGAAGAATGTTTCTGAAGAGAAACTAGAAATGACGGGGTGAGATGACTTGTGGTTTCTGCCATGACCAGTGAAACCAATACTGGCAGAGAAGAGCTTGCCACATTTTGACCATTTAAAAGCTTCACTTCCACTTGCGGATGTGTGTAGCCATCGGGTTTCTCTCTCGGCTTCAAGATTTCCACCATTTGCAATGTTTCAGGATTATGAAGAAAAACAAATGAGATGGGAGCTTCGAGAGGGTGAACTGGAGAGAACAATTCTGACCATGGAAAAACACACAGCGGAGATTGCTGGGGCTGCTTCTAAGGTGAGGCTTATCCAATGTTAGATGGAATGGTAAACATATGCTGTTTATTAATTGATTTATTCTTTGATATATTGATTGGTTGATTTATTGTTGTTGTTGCTGGTGGTTGTGGCAGTTGTGCGGTAGCATTTGACAATGACAATGACAATGACAATCTTTATTCATCTCACAGGGAGAAATTTGTCTTGGTCGTTAACAATGGCAGTAGACGTTACAAAAGTTAGACTTAAAGGTGCACGTACACAAACGCACAACTCAGACAGGACATTAGGCCAAGTAAATACATGTCTCACGGGCTGGGACAACCCGCTCCGTAAAACATTCATTCTCTCTCTCTCTCTCTCTA